TACCTACCAACCAATAGGCTACGAGCCTCACCTTCATCTAGTTAAAACCCCTCCTAAATATTGTAGCTAGAAACAACCTACTTAGATACTTGTAGGCCTAAGAACCCTACACGTCTTATATAGCCCTTCGGGCTGAAAAAGGACGTTAAACTAGAATAATAATAATAATAATAATAATAATGAGGTTCTGGATGATATTGTATAGTAATATACTCAATAGCGATTCACCATCCATGACTTATACAACATGAAGTAAAGAAACAAATCCTCTTGCTTTGCCACCATTATTATTTCCATACCCTCATTTTCTGAATTCTAGCAAATAGTACAGCTCATTTCAACGCATCAAGAAATGTCGGAAGCTGCACGTTGCACACCTCTACGCCAGTCCTGTGATCGATGCCATCACCAGAAGTTACGGTGTGCTCGCAGGGATCATAACACCACAGAAGCGTGCGAACGCTGCTTCCAACGACAGATTCCATGCATATACAGCTCAAGCTTGCCCAAGGGGCGACCAAGCATATACAGCTCAAGCTTTTCCAAGGAACGGCCAAGCACCAATCCCACTAAGCGGAACAGCCACAAGCATGCTGCCAAGAAGGGAACCAAAGCCAATCCTAAAGGCATTCCTACTCCCGTTTCATCACTTGTTGACGGGACACTGTCCGAGGCGGCGACGCATCAACAAACGGCTAGCACAGGACCCGAGTGTAACTCAGTCGGGTCTTCTTACACGCCACCTACTCCCCTCGATCTGAATCCCGGCGAGCTCGATGTGGACCCAGATGACTGGATAACAGATAAAGACGAGGAGATAACACAGGCAGCGGCTGACTCTCACATGTGGCCGCTTACTGCTGATTATCTTGCTACCGAGGCATCTGATTCCGCCTCGGGGGCGCCTCTGGTTCCTGAGTACGACCTATGCTCCACCGACAGCACCCATCAGCTACACGAAGCGACCGACCTATCACTCGATACCCTACCGAACTCATGGGTCGACGACAACGCGGAATGGGGTCACTTGCTGCTTCCAGAGATGGAGGCGTGCATGCATTCTCCTCCTCTCACACGTAACGGCGACTCTACTCTTAACCTTTCCGTTACCAATGATGCGTCGGAGAGTCGGAGATTGAGTCTTGACACTATGCCAACGGCCATGGATATCAGCACCAGTGGTAACAGTTTGACTGTCCATTGCTACAATTCCAGCGCCATCATTTCCCTGCTGTCGCAACTCAACGCTCGTATCGCATCGATGCAGTGCGTCATGGACAAGGTGGTCCAAGCCGCCGACGCATCTGCAGTGACCGAGCGCATGACGAGTAGTAGTGGTAGTGGTAATGTCAAAGACTTTGTCGAGGGAAATAATACGGCAGGCAACTCGAGAAGGCGGCGGCCCACTCGTCTCCTTGATGACACCGCTTTAGGGTCGGCGGCTATTTGGCTGATGCGCCAAAAGAATCGCCGATCAGCTTTCTTCCATCGACGGTCGGATGACTATTACATAGACAGTGATGCACAACTGCGAAGCAGCATCCTTCAGGATATTTTTTCGGCCTCGAACCACTTCCTTGAGGTGCTCGACGAGTGCGTGGCTAGACACTGCTGCACTACTCCTCCCAGCACGCCTCACGCCACGCGCGACCCGCTCAACGAGACGATTCGACATCTCATCATTTCGTGCCACCTACTACTGATGGGAATATATGAAACACTGTTGGTGGTGCTGGAACACGATGCGTTGCTGGGGAAGCACATGGCGTCGGCGGCCAACCACCAGGGTCCTCTTGGCCAGATCCAGCTGGCTTCTGTAGTCCAGCTGTTATCGTATATTTTCGCAAGACAGAAAGATGCCATTAAAGCTTATCTGTGCGAAGCGCAGCAGCAGCGGCTGGGTCACTGTCGTGCCCGTGGCTGCTCGCATGCCACGCTCAACATCGATAAGCAGGTAAGAAGTGGCCTTATCCATGAGCTGGAGAAGCGTTTCCAGCGCCTCGAGTGCATCCTCGGTTTAAGTAGTTGCATGTAGTAGTTCTCACACTTTTCTGAACAGGTCCATATACTACACCACAATATATATTGTGGCAGTTATGGGATACTGTAGCACAAAAGAAGTCAGGGAACAGGGTTTTGAAGTGCAATCAGTTGGTAGGCAAGAGAGTAGATAGCATGTTGGTTGGCGTAAGGCTGTCGGAGTGGGAGGTTGTTGGTTTCTTCTATCCATCACAGCTATTATATGTATCTGCTGAAAATGTAGTTACGTGCTTCACACTACGCTGTAATACATCAAGTATACAATGCAGTAATCTACTCTTATGATACACGTTACTCGGCTATTAGGGTTACTACATCAGCATATGCAAAGTTACCTATTAAATAAATAAGATATTATTATTATTAGTATTCCATTAGAGTCTATCTGCAGTCAGTGACTATGTAAGACTTTGGCCAGAGGCCGTTCTAGGTACAATTTGTTTAAAGTGAGAGTGTTCTCTGTATAGTACTGCTATTGTGCTGCGGTTTAGTCGCTTCTAGCTGCGCTTAAAGCAGACTCCAGTTGCTGAAGAGCAGTTTAGTAAACAGGAAGAGATGTTAGACAGCAGGGCTGTCTTCCAGCGAGCTCTTTTAGGGCTAAGGAAAGTAACTTAAGAAAGTTTGTTAGTTATTATTAGTTTTAGGTAGTGTCTCTCTGTTCTCGCTTATTTTTAGTTATCTTGTTCTTGGTCCTAGATGCCAGCCTCTAGTCCCTACTCTAGTTTTAGC